AAAACAGTCAAACTTGGATATGAGATGGACTGTTTTGTGTTTTTTTTTATGAAGACCTGATGAAGTTGATGATGGGTCGAATCTGCATGTTTAGTCTGTTGACTTTAAGCATCCAAAATAACAATTATTTTGAACCTTTTCCTCATTTTTTCCATTTTTCTGGATTTTTCTGATCGTTAGCAAATTCATTTTATTTAGGCTCTGATCATAAACCAACAATATAACTGAAACAGTGTCATCAAGTAAAAGACAAAACACTTGGAATCTTTTTATTTGTAGGACTTTTATAGAAAAACACTTGTATGGCACAAGATTAGGTCAACTCAGATCCTAACCTGACCTTCTGATGACCTCAGCAGGTCAGCAGAAGCTGTCCAGATTTAGAGTTGGGTTTCATTTCAGCCACAGTCCAAAAAAAGTCCCATATGGTGATTTTGGAATGAACCTTTTACCATTTGGATTTCCTAAGTAGGAAAAAGTCTCTAAAAATGGGCCGGCGTTACCCAGGTGCTGAGCTTGGATGCTTCGGTAGATAAAATACAGCAGGAAACCTTCTGCTTGCTACTGCACTGGCATCTTAAAATGGCTAACACAGTTTGTCAGATTGGCGTTTGTGACAAACTAAAACTTTCAGTTGAAATTTTTAGCAAATGATGATTTTAGTTGTGTAACGATCTCTGCCTCCATAGGCGTACATGAGCGCGCTGATGCACAGTTCCAATGAAATGCCACATATTTAAGGCATCACACAGCTCCACGAGGCTCCTGCAGCCGCTGCTGGTCACTAAAACTGGGGTGGCTGTAGCTCAGGTGGCAGAGCAGGTCAGCCACTAATCAGAAGGTTGGTGGTTCGATCCCAGGCTGCCTCCGGGCTGCATGCCAAATATCCTTGGGCAAGATACTAACCCCGTGTTTGCCTACTGGTGGTGGTCAGAGGGCCCGGTGGCGCCAGTGTCCGGCAGCCTCGCCTCTGTCAGTGCGCCCCAGGGCAGCTGTGGCTACAATGTAGCTTGCCATCACCAGTGTGTGACTGTGTGTGTGAATGGGTGAATGACTGAATGTAGTGTAAAGCGCTTTGGGGTCCTTAGGGACTAGAAAAGCGCTATACAATGCAGGCCATTTACCATTTAAAACCAACACGTTTCCAAGGTGTTTTCAACCTGTGCACAAAAATAGCGCATGAGCAAATACTCACTCTCTGGTAGTCATTCACCTTTCTCGCTGCATTTGTCAGTTCTCTGTTTCCATGGTAACAGCCGGCTGCAGACAGGCTGTCTTTGACAAACATGCACAAGCATGAAGCCTGCACAACATGTCAGGACAACTTTGCTGGTATTAGCAGCGTTGCGACAGAGTGGAAAGGATGTGGTCATGTTACCGATTCTGTTTTACAGCTTCTGTTAGCGTAGCGTTAATGAAGGCTAAATTTAGTTTGAGTCGAGGTGAACGGCGCTTTAACTTTTCTGTAGTTCAGAGAAAAAGGGATTAGTCTTCACTTGGTGTGGGAGTGGCTTTCCCTCGTCCAGATCAATGCTTTTAAAAGCCCTTCAGCTTCAATCTCATCACAGCACAGTTTGTTACAGCTAATCTGATTGTCCTACAACTGACACCTGCACCACCCACTAGAGTTCCTCAGTCTCTCGTAGACACACACATACATGCACACACATACGGACACACACACATGGACACATACGGACACACACACATGGACACACACACACATGGACACACACACACACATACGGACACACACACATGGACACATACGGACACACACACATGGACACACACACACATGGACACACACACACACACACGGACACACACACATGGACACACACACACACACATTCACGTTTAGCTGAATGAGTAAGACCAGTAGTTTTATGGGATGATCTCATCGGGAGGATGATGTCAGACTCTCGTGCTGCCACTGAGCTGCTGTAATTGTTTATATTTTACAGGCTACGAGGGTCTGCAGACCTGCAGAGTGCAGACATAGTGGGGAAGAGTGTGCGCATTCACTGCAGGCCCTTAAGTGGTTATCAGGATATGAGTTTGGTTTAAGATGAGTACCGCCTTCTCTGCATACTTGTTTTGCTTTTGAGCATCAAAATCGTCTAAAAACATATGTGACTGACTGTGAAGAAGACTATAACCAGGTCACCACCACCTGAAGGTAGAGATGGGTTTTTAGTTTTTTTATTGGAGGAAAGATTCAGTTTGTCCGTTTCTCCGGCTCGTCCCAGCGTGCAGAGGCTGTTCTGTAAAACCTCTGATCCCTCCTGCTGTTTCCCCAGGAGCATTTTTCTTGCTCCTCTCCCAACTTCTCCCGTGGGTGTTCCCTGTCGGCGCCCCTCTTTTTTTGGCACTTCTTGTTTTCCCCCTGCTCGGGCCCTCCCTCTTATCTTTGTTCCCCCAGAATCACTGAAATAATCTGTTTGATGTTGGAGGGTGTCTCCTCCACCACTCCTTACTCCTCTCTGTGTCTCTTTTCTCTCCCCTCCCCTGATGAGCTCATTTCCAGGATGTGTGTGATGTCCAGTGTCACACGTTGGTTTACAGTCAGCACGGTGAGGGGAGAAGAGGAGACAGCGACAGCGGGACACGCCCTAATGTGACCTCATGCATATCGCTCTCTCTCCTGCTGCGCCGTGAGCTCTTTCATGTGCTGGTGGACGCCGTGGTGACATCATGTTGCTTGTGTGAGCTGCATCAGCAGAGGGTTTTCTCAGTATTCACTGTCCTGTCCTTAAGCCCTGTTCTTTTACATTTTATTTTGCTACTGTCAAGCCTTCCTTTTTACTCTGATGTCTTGACAGCATAGCTATTTAAAACAGCTGTGTTGTTATTGACATCGTCCGAATCAGCTATAATTTAAATTCCATTAAATTTTATTTATATAGTGCCAAATCACAACAACAGTCGCCTCAAGGCTCTATAACAAAAGCATTGCTAACAGGCGTTCAGATCCACTACAGGAAGAAGTTTGAGTGGGAGCTTTAGTAGGAGTGGTGTTCCCCCGGGGAAAAACGCAGATGAGCTCCAAGCTTTTCCAAACACACGATCATGCCAGCTTTGCAGCAGAGCTACTGTGAGACCAAGTGCAATAACACTCTGCAAACAGCGTTTAACATCACGTTGGGATTCGCAGGCCTTTCCAGAGCGACTCTGGTGTCACATTAGGCCAGTAATAACACAACGGTCACCGTGGCAGTCTGTGGCTGCCGGGATCCAACAACAGAGCTTTGTCACGATTCGTCTCAACAAAATGTATTAAAATATTCTAACGAAGCATCAAGCATGTTGAATCATATGATATTAATGAAAGAATGGTGTAGGTACATGAATGCAACAAATGGGTCATTTTAGCTGGTTTGTAGGTGGTTGCTAGGCAACATGATGTTGTTACAAGAGTTCACGTATAAATTGTGACTATAAATTACTGATTCTGTTTGTTATGAAAATCATACTATGCTTTTATAAGGTGTTAAATTGAAGAAATGCTACAAAAAGTGATAACTGGAAGCTAGCTGCCATTTGTAGGTGTGGCCACAGAGAGTAGTGTACACACCGCTTAAGGGTCATATCAGTAAAAGGTGTTAAAAGTTGCATAATCACGTGGCACTGTCTGCTACAGTAACCCGGTGTATATAAAGTGCAGTCAAAAGTGCGATTTTAGGTGGTTGGTTGGCAACGTAACAACGTCATGTGATCTGATATGGATAAAAAACATTAGGAGTCTGAGATCACAATCACACATTACAGTACGACTGTCAGTGTTTTCTCATATGCAACATTTGTAAAAACTTTATCTTTGAACCAAACATTATACAGAAAAAAACATTACAGTCAAGTGGAAATGATGTCATCACATGCAGTAGTGTGGCTATCAGATCGCCAAGCTAACGCTAAGCTAACAAAGCCACCCTGTCCTTTTTACTTTTCAGTATATCAATAAAAAGACGTGCCTGCAAACGTCACGCCCAAAACCTTTAACCTTCCTTAAACATGAAAGAAAAATGTGTAATTTAATGTTACTTTGCATTAAGTGGTTCAGCCTGAGACTGCAGATACAGATCACTATACTGAGGTTCAAAGATAGAAGCAGCGATCACAGAGCGGCTGCATTACAGTAAAACATGCGTAAAGTACAGTAGCTGTAAACATCCCCTGTAAAAATTTAATACATTTTGAAAAACGTGAAAAACTGTAAATATACTGTCATGTACTTTTATTTGTGAATACAGTGGAGCTGAACGGCGATGCTTGTAAACTAACATTTACAGTCGGCTGCAATACAACCTTAAACTGCAACACAGAATTTTTTTCTTTGCCCAGAATGTGCTGTTAACCTCTACAGGAATAAAATGCTGTGGATATTACACTAGGAGCACTGCTAGAAGGCCTTAATGCCAAATAGGAAGAGCACAGGTGTATGATTAAAAGCTTATATGCAGCAGGTACATATTGTTTGTAGATTACAGCAGTGAAACATTGGAAAATAACAGCATTTACGAGGCTTTCCCCCAGTCTCCTCTTTAGAAGAACTGGTATTTGTGGTTATAATAATACTTGCCATAACAACTATGTGTGATACACGGCATGTGCTCGAGATTTTCTTCTCGCTCCTGTATTTACAGTTAGGATCTAAATAATTTAGAGCTCTGCGTGCTTCCTATCTGGGCCTCATGCTGAGACAAAGCTCCCCCAGTTTCTCACACTACTTCCCTGAACTCTCTCTCATGCACAGTACACACACACACACACACACACACACACACACACACACACACACACACACACACACTCCTGCACCATACATTAAAACACTGATTCCACCACCCACCCTGCAGTACAACACAAAGAGCTGACGTCCCTCCCCACCATCCTTCCTGTCTGCTCCCATTGGCTGAAAGGATCAGATGCTGGCAGCGTCTCAGACCAATGAGGCGTCTCCATGGTGATGTCATGGAGGCAGCATCGATGCTGTTGCTGATGCTGTTGCCTGGCGCCTGCATCCTTGCAGCCAGACGGGGTAACCGTAGTCACCGGTTCACCATCAGCAGCGGAGAAGACGCCGTACAGAGGGGGGTAAGTCTGCAGCGCCAGACACACGGCTGCACACATCTGTGTTGCACTGTGTGCCACTTTGGGTTCTTCAGGTTAACTTTCATGGCATGAATGAGCAGTACCTGCATGTGCGTGTATTCAAGCGTGTCCGTGGGGTGGAACAGGGTGAGGGTGAGGAAGGCAGAGTGATGATGCAGCGGCAAAGGTTCCTGCTGATAGGCGACAGAAAGGGAGAGAACCGAGTGTATCGTCAAAGTGTAGAGCGTGAGACATCATTTATTATTGATTCTCCATATGTCCAAATGCAGCTTTGTGTCTGATTTAAGGAAGGAGAGGCAGACAGAGAGACCGGGGAGAAAATGGAGGGTGTTTTGATGTGTTTGTGCATAAGGCAGAGTCATACAGGCGAGGGTCTGAATTTAAAATGTGCTCAGAACCGTCAGAAGTTCAGATTTGTCTGGTTGATCAGGTTTAAGTCTGCAGTTTCTTTGCTGTAGCAGTAATCTCCCAGTGAATTGATTAATATGCATGCATAGCAGCTTTCTAGGAGCAGAAAAACATAACAGTACAACAATCTGTCGAGTCTAAGGAGCTCGGAAAGAAAAGCGTCTGGACTTCTTTAAGTTGCTTGAAGACGTTTCACCTCTCGTCCGAAAAGCTTCTTCAGTTCTAGTCTCAAATGGTGGAAAATGGAGATCCCAGATCTAAGCCCTATTGTCCCTCTTGGGGGACACTCCCACAGGGCTACGATGACCTGGATGACTGAGAACCTTCACGGACAACAATCTGTGAAGACAAAACCAATGTCAGAGGAATGTTTTGTCTCCGAGAGTCTGATCAATCCTGGTGTTTGCTATGAACAATGCTAAGTGATGACACAAGTACAGAGTTATTATTATTAATATTATAATATTAGAAACAAGAAATACAATTACAAGTAGTACATGAAATTCTGCTCCCATGGAAACAAAAAAACGTTCTTCTTGAGCTCAGTGCTGTGAAAAATGGAAATGAGACGACTGCTGTTAGAAAAGCAAATATCAGCTCAAGTACAAATCACAGCTGAAAGAATATGTGTGTTTGTGTTGAACGAGACGTGTGCAGACCATGCCGATCAGTTTCAGAGAACGTTTTGAAATAGGACGATAATAAGATAAGAAGGTTTTATACAGATTTAATCGACTCTCAGAAATGATCTCCTAAACAACAAATTCAGTGAGATGAGAAGGATTTGGAGGAGAAAGTGGTTATATATGACCTATGCAGCTAAACTACAAAATAAATATGATTTAGTGATGCTGAGAAAGAATATGAAATAAAAATGTACGTGGCACATTTATATAGAGGTTAGTAAACACGCTTTAGCTACAAGCCATGCATTCATACTGTGCTGTGCTTCACTCTATAGACATAAAGCACTGTATATTAAATTTAGAATAACCAATTCATTTATTTAAATTTTATCAAATCAGTGTTCGTTACTCTAAGTCTGACCAGAAAAGTGCCCTAATATTACTTTTACCACGAGGCTTAAAGCCTCTCAGGAAGAAAACCTCTTCAGACCTGAGGAAACACACAGTCGGATACAATCTTTCTTTTTTTTAATCAATCAATAAGTGACTGAATGTCATTTTAATGTTAAAGTGCTGAAAAATATTAAATATTCTAAAATATGACAAATCATTCATGCTGACAATGCTAGCTTAGCTTAGCACAATTTCCGGAAACAAAAGGAAACATCTAGCGTGGCTCTGCTCAGTGCTAATTCCCACTTAGCTGTATTGTTATTGAAGCAGCCAATAAAACCAAGAATTTATGAATGAGTTTCATACTTGTCAGTTTTTTGAGTCAGTCAACTCTCAGGTCTCCTTGCTAAGCTACCTGGCTGTTAGCTCCATCTTTAGCGTAAAACATGAATAGCATCAGTTCTTTTACCTGACTCTCTGCAAGTGGTCAAGGCAAAGATTTAATAATAATAGATTGGATTTATATAGCGCTTTACAATGCCACTATTCATTCACTCTCACATTCACACACTGGTGGAGGCAGCTACGGTTGTAGCCACAGCTGCCCTGGGGCAGACTGACACAAGCGAGGCTGCCATTTCGCACCGTCAACCCCTCTGGCCAACACCAGTAGGCGGTAGGCCAAGGACACAACGACCAGGACAGAGAGCCCAGGGATCGAACCGGCGACCGTCCGGTTACAGATGCGCTTCCCAACCCCCTGAGCCACGGTCGCCCATTGTGCATGTAACAATGGTCTCAATGAAGGCTCAAATGAGACTGATCCAGAATCATTTGGATCGGTCATGAGGGCAAAATTAATATTCAGTGACTAGTGATAAAAGGTTGCTGGAGGTTGATGGCTGGGAAAATGAGCCAAAAGCTCCGGTCACATGGGCCTAGAGACCTCTCAGTGAGCCCCGTTTTTTCCTTGCGACCCAAACATGCCTGAGAAAATATGTGTATTCCTTGACCGGTTGGCAAAAACGTACATGTGATTGCTTTGGTCACTAGCATGCTGCCACACAGGTGGTGGTTTTGTATAATCTCTGAGTTATAGTGACACCGTGAACAGTGGACCATTTTCCTTGAAAGTAAGTAAGTGCACCTCATTCTTTCGTTTTACTACCGCTCAGCTAATAGTTAGCAAGTGTTTACGGCCAAACTACATTCACACTGCTAACAAACAAAGCAACCACCAGGACAAGAAGAAGGTGCAGAACCTTCAATAGATTTCAACCAGCCAGAGCAGCGACTTACAGGAAACACTGCCGACTAGTTGGGGGATATACATTTTCTGATAGCAATCGGTGCTCGCTGCTGTTGTTTGGGGGCTTGTTTGCTTTTTTTCTTTGTTTAAGACTCTACCAATTAAGGAGCACAGATTCAAATTCAGTGAATATCATACAGTCGGATAATGAAAAACCTCAACAGCCTATAAGGTAGCTGTCAGCAAAATTTCCCACCAACACCACCCCAAATGTTTTACACCCTCTGTCTCTCTCCCAAACTCGAAGTGACACACTCTTACTCCTGCAGGAAGCAGTGCATTGATCTGCAACCTGGGTGGCTTCATAATATGAGAAGCAGCTGTGTGTGTCCTGTGTGCGTGTGCATTACAACAGTGCAGCAAAGCAGTTCGTTTACTGCTTGATTAGTGTGTGTGTGCTGTGCAAAATCATGTGTTTGTCCTTGTCTGTCCCTCAGGGAACCGTGTCAGGGTGGCCAGGTGAGCCTGAGCTCACTGCAGTATAATGAGCTATCTGTCTTCCTCGGTAATGCGGGTTGTCTCATTAGGACACTCGTGTCTCTGTGTGGAGACGGACGTTCAGGCTTGCTGACAGGCTCATTTGTAGACGGACAGACAGACACTTTTTGGGAAATATGCTCATTTGCTTCTGTCTGAGTAAACGTTCAACAGGCAACTGGCATAGCTTGAAACACATCCAGCACCTTTAATTGTTAGTGCATCCAGATAAAAAGCCAAAAGACAATAAAATAATTTTTAGGTAGTTTCAGCTGTTTACGAACATGTTAAAGCTTTGAGTTTAGCATTTGTGTTATCTCGGTTTTGCTGATGTGATCACATTTGGAAGAAAAGGTGGAGCTCGGGGAGTTATCAGCTAGCACTAGTGCTGGCAGTGTTTAGCATCATTTAATATCAATTCACCATCATATTAAATGGGATTCTAATTAATAGCAAACTGGTTGAAGACTGAGTGGAAACCACTGGTCACTAGAAAATAAACAGTATTCTCCAACTGGTTGCATCTGGTTGAACCTAGTCACACATCACTGGTGTGAGTGGTTGCAGGAAGTTGCTAAATTGCCAACTGGTATACAGGTTTGCTTGTATTAAATTTGGTTGTTTTGGATTCTTTACAGCCAAAAAAGACACGGCTCAAAAGTGGTCCTTTTACTTTAAAAAATATCTTTATTTTACATATCTGGGATATGGAGACCTGAACACACAACCCCAGGTCTGAAGCACAAACGGAAGCCTAGATATTTATAATAATAATAATAATAATTTATATAGGTGCTCTCTACGTCACACCACACTTTAAGTTTCGATCAAAGACTCTGCTTAGTTTCACTTTCTGGCTGCACTCCTAGCTTGCATGGGGAATGGCAACTTGTCTACAAGCCTCGGCAACTACTCACTAAGTGGTTTCCAGTCAGCATCACACTTGGTCAAGCTTCACTACATGCGGCTGGTTTGTTTGCAGGTGACTGTGGCGACTGCCAGTAATCTCCAGCAACCGCTCAGCAACCAGTCAGGTAATACATACTCATTTGCCACTGACCAGACTCTAAGCCCGTGACTGAGGCCTTAATGGACTAACAGAGTGGGACCGGACATCATTAATGTGACACATGCCAGTCGTTTGTTCCTAATGTCAGAAACGACACAAGCAGGCACTCTTCACATGAGAAATTGAGAAGAACTAACAGGACTGATGAATGCTGACTGTAATGGGGCCGCGTGTGGGGTAGACATCGCTCCAAGTATATCTGACTTTCAGTCTGAAGACAGAGCACCTTTAAATTTAGACTTCACTTGTTATTTGCTTTTCTTTTATTATGTAAGGTTGAGAAAAGGTCCTGATTTGGGCTACAGTGTATCCCACAAAGCTCCATCCTCTAGGTTTTCAAGATGGTGAGTTCAACTAAATCTAAAGGGAACAACATCATACACAGAGATCAAATATAAAAGATGGGTGTAGCCACGGTGACGTTGTCCACTGGCTGGTGGGAGCTCCGTCACTTACCTTTAAAACACAGTGGGAAAGGTCTGAAGATAGCAAATGTCTCAATTAAGCCTGTATCAAGGACCCCAGCTGTTACATGACGTTCAAATGTTGCTTTATTGTTTTTGACCTCACAGTGAGCTGGGTGTGTGTCCTCATGCCAGTGATACTGGTTCCCAGGATTTAAGCAAACGTAATTAGTGTGTGCAGTGGACCGAGGAAGGGTCAGTAAGCTGTGCAGAGCACTCCCAGAATCTAAAAGGATGAGATTATCCAATTAGCACACAAAATGTTTTAGAGCACCGATGAGGCAGATAAGTGTGTCTGTTTGGATTATCGATCAGGCTCATTGAAACAGTTCAGAGTTAAAGAAATGATAGAAGTTTTGATAGAGAGACACATTTATAACAGCTCAGTGCTGACGAGACCATCTGTTAGGTTTTGTATTGTTGATTGTTATTTATGCTTAGAAATATCTACTTACATGTATATATGCTTAGAGTTGTCATTTATGCGGTCACACTCTGACCACACACACACACACACACACACACACACGGTACTCTTTGTGTGTATGTATATGTCGTATGTTAATGAACCTATGCATATTCATGTAACCTCAATAAAGGAGCAGTGTTACGGACGAGAGCAACTGGGGTCAAGCGAAGGAACGGCGTTTGTCTCTCCCGTGCACGAGAAACATGAAGAACTTTGCCTACTTCGTGTCTTGCTTGCTGTGTAATTATATTGTCTTCAACGTTCCAGCGAATAGGTTCAAGCTACAAACCTATCACCATCTGAGGAGGAGACGACGGCAGGTGGTTCTACTCTGCTGCCTTTGTGCCTCGGTGCAATCTGCTTTTTTTCAGTTGCCAAATTCATTGAAAAACAGAATTATTGTTGAATTATGAATTATTGAATTTGTTAGGCAAAGGCGGTGTTTTAAAGGTCTGTAGAAGGTTTGCAGCAGCTTCTCTGCCACGCCTCGAAAAATATGCTTGACTTGCAGCTTCTTCAGCTGGATGTTCGACTTTCTGCACAGGTGGCTGTTTTCACATTTACAGTTGTGGTCAAAAGTTTACATACACTTGTAAAGAATATAATATAATGGCTCTACCGAGCGTCCCGTTATTTCTAAAACTCTGATTTTTCTCTGATAGAGTGATTGGAACAAATACTTCTTTGTCACAAAAAACATTCATGAAGTTTGGTTCTTTAATGACTTTATTATGGGTTAACAGAAAAAGGTGATCACATTTTCTGGGTCAAAAATAATCATATGGCAACATGAATTAGCAATTTTGGTGACTTAGAAAGTTGTCAGTGAACTGAGCTTCATAGCATGGCCTCTTAACTGCTGGTGAGTGATTATGAGTGACGACAGCTGGTGACTTCTCTTAGGCCAGTTAAATATGGCTCATTGGATACAAACACCCACAAACGCTACAATAGGAAAGTCAAAGGAGCTCAGCATGGATCTGAAAAAGCAAATTATTGACTTGAACAAGTCAGGAAAGTCACTTGGGGCCATTTCAAAGCAGCTGCATGTCCCAAGAGCAACAGTGCAAACAACTGTTTGTAAGTATAAAGTGCATGGCACTGTTTCATCACTGCCAAGATCAGGAAGAAAACGCAAGCTATCACCTGCTTCTGAGAGAAAATTGGTCAGGAGGGTGAAGAGTCAACCAAGAATCACCAAAAAGCAGAATTTGAAGCTGCTGGAACACAGGTGTCATTGTCCACAGTCAAACGTGTTTTGCATCTCCATGGACTGAGAGGCTGCCGTGCAAGAAGGAAGCCCTTGCTCCAAAAGTGGCACCTTAAGGCTCGACTGAAGTTTGCTGCTGATCACATGGACAAAGATAAGACCTTCTGGAGGAAAGTTCTGTGGTCAGACGAAACAAAAATCGAGCTTTTTGGCCACAATGCCCAGCGATATGTTTGGAGGACAAAAGGTGAGGCCTTCAACCCCAAGAACACCATGCCTGCAATCAAGCATGGTGGTGGGAGTATTGTGCTGTGGGGCTGTTTTGCTGCCAATGGAACTGGTGCTTTACAGAGAGTAAATGGGACAATGAAGAAGGAGGATTACCTTCACATTCTTCAACATAACCTAAAATCATCAGCATGAAGGTTGGGTCTTGGGCGCAGTTGGGTGTTCCAACAGGACAATGACCCCAAACACACATCAAAAGTGGTAAAGGAATGGCTAAGTCAGGCTAGAATAAGGGTTTTAGAATGGCCTTCCCAAAGTCCTGACTTAAACCCCATTGAAAACATGTGGACAATGCTGAAGAAACAAGTCCATGTCAGAAAGCCATCAAATTTAACTGAACTGCAACAATTCTGTCAAGAGGAGTGGTCAAAGATTCCACCAGCAGCTTGCCAGAAGCTTGTGGATGGCTACCAAAAGCGCCTAATTGAAGTGAAAATGGCTAAAGGACATGTAACCAAATATTAGCACTGCTGTATGTATATTTCTGACCCAGCAGATGTGATCACTTTTTTCTGTTAACCCATAATAAAGTCATTAAAGAACCAAACTTCATGAATGTTTTTTGTGACAACGAAGCATCTGTTCCAATCACTCTATCAGAGAAAAATCAGAGTTTTAGAAATAACGGGACACTCGGTAGAGCCATTATATTCTTTACAAGTGTATGTAAACTTTTGACCACAACTGTATCTGATAGATGGTAAATGGCCTTTAGCGCTTTACTCAGTCCCTAAGGACCCCAAAGCGCTTTACATATCCAGTCATCCACCCATTCACACACTGGTGATGGCAGCTACATTGTAGCCACAGCCACCCTGGGGCGCACTGACAGAGGCGAGGCTGCCGGACACTGGCGCCACCGGGCCCTCTGACCACCACCAGTAGGCAACGTCGTCTTGCCCAAGGATATTTGGCATGCAGCCTGGGATCGAACCACCGACCTTCTGGTTAGTGGCTGACCTGCTCTGCCACCTGAGCTACAGCCACCCCAGGAAAGTTTCTCAACACACACAAACAAAAGAAACAAACAAAAGAAACAGTTAGCCTGAGATGAACTAGAACAGCAGAGCTTCATTCTGCTGTTTGATGAACATTTTACTTTATTTTTTTCCATTTTTAATGGTGAAACAACAACATTTAAAGTGCAGGAACACCCGACTGACTCTGACTTTTTTCTACATGTCAGGTAACTGTTGTTGAGAAGGTCAGAGATCTTTACCCAGAATAGTTTTTGTCTGAAGAGCTCTGATCTGATAATGTGAGCTTTAATTTAAAGTTTATTCTCAGGTGGGATTTTTGCATTACGCTCCGCCTTTATCTTTTTATTCTGACTCTGCTAGAACAGCTTTGCATGAGTCCAATAATCATGACTTGGCTGCTCTACACTTTTGGCTCACGCTGTTGTCTCCTCAGCTTCTTCCTTCTCAGATTGTGCCCTCGATGCTCCTGCATTCAGTGCTCTCTGTCTCTGTCCCTGCACAGCTCTCTGACAGAGTGAGGAGGATCTTCAGCGTCCCTGGAGAGTAACATTTGCAGTGAGACCATGACTCTGGCAGGTAAATGCAGTCGCAGCACAAACCCGTTCACCTCACACGCCCTGCTCCTCTGCTTTAAACACTATACTGCGACCGATCTGTTCAATATGAGCATGCAGTATTTGTGTCGTGCAGCGTGTCGTTATTATGTCCGCTGGTATGACATAACGAGCATGACTTACGTCGTCAGTCCTTGACTGCGTGCTCATGATTCAGCTTGATCTTCTGTGTGTGTCCTCAGCCTATAAAGAGAAGGTCAAAGAGCTCCCCCTGGTGTCTCTGTTCTGCTCATGCCTGAACCCACGCACTGCAGAAAACCCGACCTACAAGGCAGAAGGTAAAAAATCTCCTTTGCACGAGCACTGGTGTTTATTAGGGGTACAGTCGCTTATAAAAGACCGACAGCAGTCTCTGTGGCTGAAGTTTGATGCTCCTCAAACTTCAGCTCCTCTCTTCCTGTCTGTCTAAAACCAGCAACTTCAGCAACTACAGACAAACACAAGAACATCTCATCCATCCACAGATGTCTCATTAGATCTGCAGTAAACCCAGGCCCACAGTCAGTGCTGACGCACGCTGATCCTTTTGTCCTAATTCTGGGTCTTTCTAAATAATCACCTTTGGAGCTAAAAGTGAGCAAGAAGCAGTTTTGTTTCCCTCTATCTAAATTTGAATCTTTTTAAAGTTATAACAGATCAGGAGTGACTGCAAACTGCAACTAAATTCTGAACATATAACTTATATTTCGGTCTTGGCGTCATTTCTACAGAGTGAAACACTTTCTGTGTTCTTCCTCCAGATCTCTGACTAAAGTAAAACATTCGATCTCAAAGTAAACCAGATTCTCCAAATCATTGACATTTTGCATTTCAGCCTAAGTTTATGCTCCAGCATCGCTCCAGCTGTCAGACGAGGTGTCCGAGTGGCCAAGGCGACGGACTGCTCATCCACTGTGCTCTGCACGCGTGGGTTTGAACCCCATCCTTCTTTCTTATCCAGCTCTTTGTACGTGTGCATAGTGACAATAAAATGTGTTTGCTGCTATTTAAGCGATAGATCTTGGATACTTCTTGGTACATCACAAGGAACCTTTATAATCTCTTTATTGATTTTAAATGTGTTTGGTGCAGCTGACCACGTCATACTTTTACAAACGTGAAAGTTTGAGTTTTGAGCACAGTCAGTGATCATTCAGCATCCAGGCCTCTTTCCTCCTTATTACAAAGTTCCCCGAGGCTCCGTCCCAGGAATATTTGATTTATGTTTATAGCAGCATCTCATTGTGTAATCATAAAGACACATTCCTCTATTTATGGCACCAACTCTAAACATCTAGCTGTGATTTAACTGCCTTCCAAACCATTAAAGATCTGTGAAAAGACCGAACTGATTTTAAATGCAAAAAAATTACTGATTAACCCCCTAATATGTATGAAACTGTATAAATACTCAGACATTTAGCTTGATTCGATTTTAAAGCACACGTTGACATTTCTTATTAAATAAAGTGAGTTCAGTCGGTCTGTTTACAGGGATCTCATTATAGACGACTCTCTAACCTCGAGATACAGCACATTAGTCCAGCTTCAGTTGAATCATGGAGATGAACAAAACGCTGGCTTGCCTGTGAGGAAGGGTTTGTGTTTGTTTATTTAAATAGATATATATATTTAAAAGAAGCAAAAACAACCCTGCTGCTATCGTTCAGCCATCCTCCAGTACACAGAATAGACTCAAGATCTTTTTGTTCTTGTTCTTTTCCCTGAACGTGTTTCCATGTTTTAAAATATAACATGATGGCCATGTTAAAGACAAACAAAGATGAGGTCATGGATTCAGCTCTGACAGTAAATGCTGCTATCCACCAACACAGATGCAGTGGACTTGGCCTGGTGCGTCATCAAAGACGTAGAAGTTATCGAGCTGAACAAACGCGCATCGGGCCAGGCCTTCGAGGTCATCCTCAAGCCCCCGTCTTTTGACGGCTTGCCTGAACTCAATGCCTCCATGCCGCAGCGCCGCGACCCATCCCTGGAGGAGATCCAGAAGAAGTTAGAGGCGGCTGAAGAGAGGCGAAAGGTGAGGGAGCGGGCGCGTCATCTGAACCGCCAGAAAACATCCACTGTTTGTGGCTCGTTCAGCCATTGTTAAACATCTGTTAGCACTCTTTGTGTGATTTATCGGAGAGACGGAAATAGGCTTAAAATGAATGAAGGGGAAGTGGGAGGGAGTATTGGAGTGAACGGAAAGAAGGAACTGAGCTGGGGGAGATGAAAAGAGGCAGATGAAAGAGCAGAGACAATCCTGTGAGGACACAAAGACAATGATTCATATTCATCCATCAGAGAGGATGATGGAGCGAGGGCAAGAGACAAACAGGGGAAAGGTGAGGAGAGTGAAAAGATTGTTAGAGATGGAAGAGCGCTCTCTGGAAACGAGGCAATTCCAATTTCTTTGGCTTTACTGGCTCACAGTGATCTAATGTATTAGTTATGAGGTTTGGCCCACCTGAGGACAAAGATTACAGGTGCTGACAACCGCACACATTTCAGTTTGTGTCTGCACCCTTCAACTAGAACATGTTTGACAGTTGAACTTTGTTGAAATAGGTGAAAACTGCAAACAGCCTGCTTATCACCTGCAGTCTGAGTATTGTGTAAAGGATGAGCAGCTGCCTTCACTTCTCCATCTTCCTCCAGTGCCAGGAGGCGGAGCTGCTGAAGCACCTGGCGGAGAAGAGAGAGCATGAGCGCGAGGTGATCCAGAAAGCTTTTGAGGAGAACAACAACTTCATCAAGAACGCCAAGGAGAAGCTGGAGCAGAAGATGGAGGCCAACAAGGAGAACAGGGAGGCTCTGCTGGCAGCCATGCTGGAGAGGCTGCAGGAGAAGGTAACGTGGCCGCGATTAAGCCCCGAGCCTCCCGACCGTTAGAGGGGAGGTCTGCAAACTGATCTCAAACAATCATTGCTTTGTGTGGTTTCTCACACAGCAGACAGCCGCAGAACACCAGGGTTCATCTCCCACGTGGGACCATTATTTTTGTTTGGGGGGGTTAGGTAAAAATCCAGTGCTGATAATGCTGAGCAAGGTTTTTGTGGTGCTGATGTGTCAGTGTAACATATGACATGTAGTAGTTCGACAGCATTGTCACAAATGTCATATTAATGTTACTTTTACGACACCAGGCCAACCATATGTTCTATATATGCACATGTATTTGTGCTTTAACTATGGAGGCAATCTGGCCCATCTTTGACTTTAGTAAAATAAAGCAGCATGAAAAGGTCGTTTATGTGTCTTTGTTCAAACAGAACACGTTTAACTTTGGAGAGACAAACTCTGCTGCTTCTCTTTTCATCCAGTCTTCATGATATCCTGGGATAACGTAGAAACTCCTTTTTATTTTGCTTTTGCAGACAGGAATCAGCTCCCTGCACACCTGTCAATCAGAAATAGCCACGCCCTTAACCTTAAGCCTGATCTGTATCCAGATGGATGAGCCTGACCCACCGTAGAGTTAATATGGCAGGGACCGTTTTTGTACTGGGCTGTGAACCTGCTGTTTGGTGCAGCGTAGTTGGACAGTTAAACGTGGGAGTCTGTGGGGAGGTTTGCTACATTATTGCAAACTGTCTTTTAAATTTGACTTTTGAATGTTTTTCTTCTTTTTCTCTTGCTAAAAAGGATTTATGCAAGCTTTGAAGTTAGAGGGCAGCAGTTTTATATTTTCTCACAGCCAGCTAATAGCTTCAGATGAAGTTACACTGATATTTGTCCATGTGTATCGCAGACTGTGAAAACGACTCTTTACTGTCTCGTGTGTTATTTCTGAACCCAAACTTGTTGCCAGGCAACTTGTTGCCAGGCAACTTGTAGCAACACTAATGAAACGTTGCTGGTTTTAGTCCAACACAGAGTGAACATCAACAAGTTCATGTTTTTACTGTTTCAGCTACAAAGTTACAGACATGAGAGACATATTGAGCAAAACGTCAAACACACACTGAGAGCTAAACACGAGTTTTTTGAGTGTAAATGAAGCGAAGCTTCAGCTGAACTTTGTCTTCTGGTTTGGCTCTGCTCACAAACCTGATCAGCAACCATGAATATTAGTGCAATGAAATAAAGTTTTTTCAGTTCTTCCCCACTCGCTCTCATTCAAACCTTTACGCCGGCGTCTCCTTCATTAATGAAAATATCTTCCTAAATGATAATGGCACTCATGTTTCTGTGTCTGGCAGGACAAACATGCAGAGGAAGTGAGGAAGAACAAGGAGATGAAGGAGGAGGCCTGCCGGTAGACGAATGGCACGAGGGAACCGAAAGAGCGAGGAAAAAAAATAAAAAGGGGGAAAACAGTGCATTAAAAGAAGAACTCAACAGCAACTAGGGCAGATTTTGGTTTTCATATTTGATGTATGCTGCGATGATTCTGAGCAAGCTGTATAAAGTTTAGCCACTCTTGATGTTAAAATTTGCTAATGTTTTTTAAAGAGGAACAGCCATCCAATCATGACTGAGTAAAAAAAAGGAATTAGAGCTCCTGTTTTCTGTGTTCAGCATCAGGAGATGATTTTAGTGAAGCTGTGTTTTTTCTTGGCAACGCTTCCAGTTTGGCACAGCCAGAGACGCAGTTTCTCTCCAATTAGACTAAGTATGCGATCATTACCTCATAAAACCTGAAAATCTGTGATGTGCTTTATTCAGACTGGACACAGTAGTTTCAGAGCCTCACTCAGCCATAACCAACTCCACTGAAAACCAGGATTCGTTAAATACACAGGACCAGCTTTAAATATGAAAACACAAAGTGATCTCGGTCCACATGCTCATACTTCTCACTGTTTCTTTCACTCCGTCTGGGGTTTGTCTGTGAATCTCACTAATGCTTTATGAATATGAAACAAATAACTGGGGGGGACTTTAGCTGTAGTGTAGTCGTAGATCAGTGACATGCATTTGAGTCTCTTAGAGTTAGAGCACTGATTGCACTCTTATTTCATTAAGCACAAGTCAAAGCACACACGGTATTCATACCAGGAGAGCAGTGAACATATAGAGTAAAAACATTCACATTACGAGGAGGTGAAACAGTGACTGACTGCAGTTTACAGTTTGGACGTATTTCTGGCTTCGGTGGGTCGATTTGTGATCTGACCGACTTGCTTTGGTGTCTCTGATTGTTTATGGTTTTCACAGCAATTCCAACCTAAAACATTAAAATGGGGATCAAATGTGCTTAAGTGGTTTGGTCATGCTGATTTGATTGAAGTGTCTCAAATGTTTGCGCTGTAACGGGGGAGTCGTACATGGGCTTTGTACTTGCTGTAACTGTGTGTTGCTGTATATCTTCAAGGCTGGGTTGATTGTACCTATTTGGCATGATCAATAAAAGCAGCTTGGCTGAACTCGAACTTTCTCATAACTTTCAGATTTGATGGTGATATTTTTGACACTGATTTCCGTGACAGACAAACACTGGTAGCTGGGATATCACAGCACAATCACAATGATTGCCACTCTGTGTATTCAACTTGCAAAGCGACGTTGGTTCACCAGGGTGGTGATAAAATGGCCATAAGACATTCAGTCTGCTATCAGTTTGCAACTGCATGCAATCTGTAGAAAAACTAGGATGAAATGTGCCGAGACTTTGTCCCGGAATAAAAATGAGATGAGAAAATTCTGGAGAGACGAGATTCAATCGAATCGAATCAAGTCATGTAGAAAGGTGGGAGGAGTTTGGAAGTGATCCAATCAGAAGTAAGCTCCTCGTGTAGCAAAGTTTACCACGCACACCATTCAGTCCCTAGGAAACGGAGGTGGAAGTACAACTAGCTCTCATGCTCTATGTTTCTCCTGAAAAAGCATAAAAAATGTCGATGCCGAGGAGAAAGCAAAGAGTGGACACATCTCGCAACTGAGGTCAAAGAAAATAAGACACTTTGTAAAACGTGTAGAGCAACTCTCGGTAAAAACACAAACTTTTATGTATTTATATTTTAGTCGACTGAATCAACTTCAGATTTAGTATTCGATAATCTTCAGCTGGCAAAAAATAGACTGACCCTAAATGAGTTTAGGTGCTTAAATTATGACTAAAACTACATCATAGTTTGGGGCAGGCAGAGATAAGCTGCTACCTACAAGGGAAAAAGCAGTCAAAGGTGTCTCCCAGGGGCTGGGGGTATCGCATAAGCACTTACTTGCAGAAAGGATGAGCTGGGATGAAGGTGGGTTGCACGGCAGCTTGCAGATGGACATCGAGTGCCACTAAAGGCAATTAATATTTAGCTTAAAATGAAAGTTAAATGTATGTGAGTCTATAATATTTTACAAAAAGAGGAGTGACCAACAAAAAATAATGCTGTCATTAAAAATACTGTGAAATGCATTTATTAACATAAAGATAATTTGACCTGAGTTTATTATTTGTGTCACAGCTGATTCAGATGTTAAAGATACACATTTTTAATTATGAATTATAATGTTTACAATGAAATGAAAATAGTTTGTATAAAATGTAAAAAGCAAAATACCGAATTAGGAATACAATAGGAACAAATATAAAAAAGACACATATCCACAAAATTAATATTATTTATCATGTACAAATAATGTCAACAACAATTCAAGGCTCACATTCTTTCGTCTACCATCTCTGATTAAAGTTACAATAAAGCCCTCGCGACCACAAGGGGGCAGACACACACTTTGCAGCTGTTTAAAGCTATCAGAGTCACAAAGCAAGCCCTACTGCTAACAGCTACGACGGGGAAACGCAAGCACTAAAACATCACACAGGTCAAAAATGACTCTTTCATGTTACACATTTTACTTTCATATCTGAACCTGTTATAACTTAAAGCAAACTTGCAGAATGCAGGTTAGTACAGGGTAAAAACAGCGTGCTGAAAGAAATGCGTTCATCACAAGTCGTCGCCTTCCTACCCCTGAGGTATGACAGTGGGCCTCACACAGGTACAGCCGGCTGTGATCACCTCTGTCCCCAGTGTGAAGATGTACTGCTTCCTCGCCTTCCTCCCTTTTTTCTTAGACGGTTTGAGGACCCTGTGGTGATGCAGGAAAGAGTTGTAAATATATAACTGAAAGGTTACAGCCCCTTCGAGAGCACTGTGTTTGAAGGGGCTTTATATAATGTGGGGGAGATAAATGAAATGAAGGCTCTCAGTTTAATTCAGTTACACGTATTTTGCAAAGGCTGCAAGCTATGCAACGACTTTCTAAACATCTTTGTTTTGTCTTGAATGTGGTTTATATGGGAAACAACAGTGAAAAACCAGAACGTACATCTGTATGTATACTGTGGTTCTGCTTCTATAGAAATGCCTTTGACCTGCTAACTAACACATTACTGTACACAACCTGCACTGCGGTTTTTCAGGATGTTTGTGTTTTTATCACAGATTGCCACATGGATGGATCTGATTGGTTCTGCAGCATGACAACAGTGCCAAACAGCCCGGGTGATATGGAGCTATATTTGATGACAAAAGCACAAAATGGGACGGCCCTGATCACAACGTTACAGATTAGGCTGAAGAATCCACGTCGCCCACTCGTGGACCCTCTAAAACTGTGTTTATCAAACAGTGATACCTGGTGACTGCAGACTCATTTGATGGATCTTTTGGAAAATTGAGGAATATAGTTGATCTAAATACAAAACTTTAAAAAAACTAACAAAAAACCCTCAACATTATTCAGCTACCAGACGCCCACATTCATTCGCTGATGTTTGGGAAGAGGTCCGAGTGACAAACGTGTGAGAAAACAATCTTTAAAGACGTGTTGATGCTTATCCAGGCAAGGAAATCCCAAAATGTGGATTCTGTTCTGAGGAAGTTGGATGAGCGACGAAACGTCCGACTGAAAACGCGACGTCCAGATCAACACGAGCAGCTCTTTGGGATTTCTTTGAAGACTAGATTCAAAATGATTTATATTTCAGTTCATATCCACACAAAGTGTATTAAAATACTAAAAAATAGTTTTAAAAATAGTTTAATTAAAAAGTAAACTTAGTAAAAGTAAAGGAAAAATACCAAAGGGCTAATGACAGGGTATTAATTTATTATTAGTAGTAGTAGTATAAATTATTAAATATTGTAAATACTGTAATGTAAAGTATTTTTTAAAAGTAACGTTTAGTACTAAATAGTAAAAAAATATTTTTAATGCCACTCATGACAAAGTTTTGGAGAGAAAAAACCCTCAAAGCTAAATGTTGCGCATCACATTGTGACAAACAAACTAACCACAGAATTTATTGAACAACAAACGAATAACATTTGAAACAAAACGAGTCCTTTCTTTGAAAACTAAAGTCCGAGTGATCACCGCACACTAATTGAAAAACATTGGATGCACTTTGTAACGTATCTACAGTTTTTGAATTTAGCTGATGATTTTAAAAAGTTTAAAATATTAAGAAAGAAATTGTGAGGAAGAAAATGTGGTCAGTCGGCATCGGCATGGAAACACCCAGCGGCTCCTGTTTTCTAGGTTAAGTGGAAAGACCTGCTGCTTCTTCCTGTTTGAGACCTGCGCAGTCATATCAGGACGTGAAGTACGGAGAGAAATGTCCAACAAGCGCCAGCGCCGTGTTTGTCTGTGACTGCGCTCCGTTGGTAGAACAGCTTTCACCGATGATGATGGTGAAAACTGCATCCCTGCACTGAGCTCCTACATTTCTGTGGCTGTTGTCTCTTTATGTACTTTGTGCTCAACGAGCTTCAATCTGGATTCTTTCTATTATCAGGGCTGTCTGCAAATGAACTGAAACTGAACACAAGAGCAATTCTAGCTGTTCTGATGAAAACAAAACCAGGTGCAAAGCGAGTATTTTCCACAGCAGCTCACCTGTGGAGGACCAGAACTTCGTACTTGATGGGTTTAGCCTCCAGGCCTCTATCCTCCCCTCCCCCCTGTGGACTCAGACAGCCAGTGGTGAGGCACTGGGCGTTTGAGATATGCTTGGGCAAACGAGAGTCCACGGACGAGTCACTGCGGACGGATGGGTCAGAGAAAAAACACTGTAACCTAAAGATTAACATGGCCCAGTGAAACATAGATGAATAACAGCAGGGTCTTACATGTACGTCCACGGTGACAGAGACATGTTGGCGATGCTTGAGGGAGATTTTGCGGTGAAGTGCGGCAGCACTGAAGGATCTATAACCAACCTCACACTGTTGCCCTTCAGTCCAGCTCTGGGCCCCAGCTTTGCTGAGACCGACTGGCTTTTCCTGGCGCCGTGCAGCAGGGGAGCCAAACTCAGGACCAGCAAAGCTCTCAACACCTAAGCAAGACAAGAGGGCGCAGGCCACA